TACCTCTTAGCCTCTTCTCAGAAAAGCCTCTCCACCCCATCATTTATTTTTCCTCTCATTAAATCACACATATATAAATAGCAATCCACTTATATTTTATTCTGAGAAGAAACATGAAGTCATTTAATATAACAACATGAAGGACAAAATTATTCCCATGAAGGCCTCCGACCTTTCCATGGCACTTTCAAATGTTTATTTTTATCACTTGCTTTGAGAATATCCCTCTACGTGGCGGTAGGTTTGGAATTTACATTTTATCCAATAGAAACCATGTTAATAGACTTCCATTCTGCTTGCACTTCTATAACATTTCCCCAGAGCTCATCACTGGGCTTGAACCCAAAATTCTGTCCTTTTTCTATACTCCAAGCACCTGATAAATAGGCAAGCAGATTCTGGGGCATGGGCCAGAAGATGATGCTCAGTAGTCCCCTAGTGGCCTGAAAGAGTTCATGCAGTTTACTGAAATGCTTACTCTACTCCACGGAGGTGTGAGAGACTCATTAAGCAGCAAGATCATTATGTATTTGCCAATTAGCACCCTCCTTTCCAGAAGGCCCAGGAAGTGCACTCATGATTCCACTTTGTCTAGGTGTGCTCTCCAGTGGATCATGCAGTCAGTACATCCAGGTGTCATACTGTTTCATCATCTGAAATTTTGCTTTCAAGTTTGGGATGTAGTCTTCTGAGATATAAAAGACCCCTTAGGAGCTAGTGGCATTAACCCACTTACCTGGAGCAAAAATAAATAAATAAAAATAAAAATAATCTTTAAAAAGGATACAGAGCTTTCAGGGGGAACTCAGGGCAGCAATGACACCTAGATTATGAAGGAATGGAATCAGGGAGGCCATCAGAAATTTGGCAGCTGCTCTCTCAGATTTTTGGGTTGCAGTGATTTGTCTCTGTTTCTTTCTGTAGGACCACTGCATTTCTGGTTTCTCTCTGTCCGTAGATATTTCTCTGATGTAGCATGAATTCGGTCAAACATGCCTTCCTCTAACACTGGCAGCCTCAGCAAATGACATAGACCAATCTCTAATTTTTTTTGCTTCATTTATAAAAGCTGGAGAAAAAAAATTGGTTTGGCCAAAAATGATAACAATGATGATTATGGGTGATGATATTAATAGTGATGTTGATGGGTGTTTTTGTTTCTTGTTTACCATGGGCAATTTCCTGTGATAAAGGCTTGAATGCATTTTTAACATAATCCTCATCAAGATCCTGTAATTCCATTTTATAGGTGATGAATATGATACCTCGAGATAATAAATAATTTGCCTAAGTAACTTGCCTGCTAATTAACCCGAGTTAGCTAATACCAAAGTGGTATAATCAACAGAAGCTTGATACAGGATCAAGCAGTACAAACATGACAAATTAAGTCCCTACCCTTAAGAAATAGTAGGGCAAGTCTCAGAGAAAAAGTGCTGATATGAATTCCTTAGACAACTCCATCGTAGTCTGCTACACATGGCCATGGCTTTTCTTTTTCTTTTTTTTTTTTTTTTTTGGCCATGGCTTTTCTAAAATCCTCCAGTGAGAAGCATGAAATCTCTCTCTATTGGACTATGTTTATCTTCCAGACTTTTTATCCATTGTATTCTTTGTTTCCTATTTTTTAGTTTCTCAGACTTATTTGCTGTTTATAAAGATATCATGAATTGCCACCCCTCTGAGTTCATCATGCAGCCTGGAATGGCCTTTCCTAAACTGTTAAAAGTTTATTCAATGTCTCTAACTCAGTCCAAATGTTGTGTCTTTCATGAAATAATCACTGACTACCACCCCCACACACAGATACCTTTTTACTCTGTTCCCATTGCACATGGTTAATAATTAATCATGTTTAGCACTCAGTATCTTATCAGTTCTATTACATTGATATTAACATCTAGAATATGAACTTCTTAAGGGTAAGCATTGTTTTTTAAAATTTCTATATCCTTAGCATCAAGTGCTAGTCATCAAGCACTTAATAAATAAGCATTAAATTGAAGTGTATAAATCATGAATTTATAGACCTGTGATCTTTTTTGGACATGACTATTGGTCCCTCCATGTTTGTGTTTTAGGATTTGAAATTGATATTGCCTGCCTCTAGTTCTATGCCATAGAATGTGTTCAACATTCTATTGGTAATCAAGCCAGAACAATTTAAAGCTGGTGACCAGAGGACTCTCTATTGTCCTTTGTCTCCCAGAGCAATTTTATTCTTATTGCACTGGATTCCCAAACAGTATTGCATGGAAATTTTCTAGTGCCCACAGAGAGGTCAGGTATCCCTTAACAATATAAAAAATATTATTGGTCCAGAGAGTTTAAGAGCCCCAACTTCAGAAAACAGAATCAGAGTTATCACATGTAAAGCATCAAGTATAAAAGCGTACACTTTGGAATTAGAGATAATTACTAGCTCTGGGACATTAAGATAGTTACATATCTTTTGTGAGCCTTATTTTACCCTTTTGTAAAATAAAGATAAAATTGCTACCTTGCAAGGTAGTTGCATGGATTAGAGATAATATCAATGTACATGATTGACATATAGTAAGCATTCAATAACTATTAACTATTATCATATTCTACCACTTTTTCTTCTTCCTTTAGTACAGCCTAGTAGTTATCTCTCCATTTTTCTCCTCCAGTGTACCACCAAGATACATTTTACCACTAGAAACCTCTTTAAATCACTCTTCTCAAATCATTTCAGAGAAATTCCATCACAGAATCTTTGAATCCAAATATTCACTTGAGGTCTCTACCAAACAGCTCTTCCTCACAATGACCCCAAATAGCCTCAATCTCCTACTGTATGTTTTTAGGGATTATGTCATTTCCTCCTGAAACATACATCCATGAAACCTACCCATGGTGTTCTATGCTATACTTGAATATTTTGTTAACAGGTAACTCATTTTCTTTTATGGTACTCATTCCATCTTTGGATAAGTACCACAGTTAGAAATTATTTCTTTAATAGAATGGAACTTTATTTTTCACTGTGTTCAGTCCAGTGGCCTTAGCTTATACCCAGTTTTGAATTCTGATTCTGCCATTTTTCAGCTGTGAGATTAGGCAAGTTACACATTTGAGGATTTACAAAATGGACTCAATTATACAACAACTCATAGATTTTTGTGTTAGCCATGAATGAGTTGGAGTATATGGACTTCTTAACATAATTCTAGGCAAATAGTAAATGTTAAATATTTGGTAGTTATTATTAATATTATGTTAATTTTCACTGATACAGTCTTAAATTGCATTTATTATTTTTAGACTGACTTGCTCCCCATAACAGTTTCTAACACGGACAGGAAATGTTTCAAGTTCTTACTAGGTGGGAAGTACTTACATAAATACCAGAATCCTTTGGTTCAAGCCCCTTCTATACATGAGAAGACTAATAGTTCTCTTATATCATAGAAAGTACTACTTACTGTTTGGTGCCAAGTTTGCTTTTTCTGTGCAATAATTTCCTCTAATCACCCCTGAGTCTTTGTATGTTATTTTATACACAAACCTTGTTGGTGGTGATGGTAGGAGTTAATCTTCCCTTAAGAGACAAATGTGACCTATTATTTGTTTCTTTTAAATAAATAATTTTAATGAGAAAAACATGCCTGTTCTATAGGAGTAGGTACAACTCACCCATGATCATTTTTTTTAACCACATAAAAAAATTCCAGTCTTAAACACCTAAGTTTTCTCACTGATGATAGAAATCAGAAATGGATAATAAACATATTGATAGAAAAAAATCATGCAAGTTTACAGAGATCAATACAGAGTCCTATGACAGAGGCAGCATTTTCTAATGAAAATAGCAAGTTGTAGTAAAAATGAACAGAGAATTATTTCATAGCATCATATATACCAGATAGGGTTTAGATTATAACTGTACAATCAGTGGGAGCTGAAAATGTGTTGTGGTCATCAGTTAGAGTAAGTTTAGAGTGAAAAGAGTAAGAAGATATATGGAAATCAGGTCTTGTAAGGAACAAAAGATTTTAGGAATGTTTAGCTTAAATTTGAGAGGACATGATAGATATATTTGTTTAAATGGCTGCCATGTGCTCTTTCCTTGACAAATTATTGTGTATGGTTTTGAAGGTGAGAGCTGGGACCAGGGTGCACGTTTCAGCTTAGCACAAGTAAAACAACTTAAGAAAACTTAAAAAAATGTATATATATATATGCGTGTGTATATATATATATATATATATATATATACTCTCTCTACATATATATATAGAGAGAGATTCGCAATGCTTTTCTTTATTCTTATTTTAAATTATTTAAAGATTTAAATTTTAAGGCTTAAAGTGACTTCTTTTATGTCAACTTCCATCTACCAGACTAGGCAGAGAATGCTATTTCTCGGGTTCAAACATTTTGCTTTTGACCTGTGGCAAGCCTAGTGAAATAGTGCCAGCAACATCATCATTAACCACGTCCATAGATGCTTTATTCTTACAGTATTTCTACATGGATAACCTTAATCAGATATTTCTGGGCATTGTCTCTTATAGGCAGCATCCATGAAACTGGCCAAGTTTCTAAAGATAGTGGTAGGACCCATTTATGGCTTAGCTTGAGATGTTGTATCTTAAGAAGGATCAGCAAAGTACTTAAACAAAAAATATTAACCCAATAGCAAGACAGCCAGGCATTGTTCTAGTGTATTATAAATACTTTTCAAAGAATAATGAGGGATAATTTTTAAATGCGGAGGAAAGGTGTGTCTGATGCAATAAAGATGATTAAATCAGAAAGAGAACCCAAAAGGATCTCAATATTGTTAGACTTTTAAAGCAGTAAGAACTGTGTAGGAATCCTTCTGTGAACCACAGAAATAATAATTGCTGAGCCCATTGGAACATAATCTCACTCAGCGAGATGCCACTGCTTTCCAGATTTCCTCACAGGGCCCTGCTAATTCCATGCCAAAACTAGCAGTGGATTTCTTCCTTCTAATCTCCCCTAATGCCTTATTCGATTATTGTCACCGCTCTCCAACCATACACTGTCCCTTCAGACTCCTTTCCCAAGTGAGTCCACCAAAAGAGGCTGAGTGTCCATCAGGATGTAGTCTAAGACCACAAGCCACCTTGTTCTACATGAAAAGGCAGAAGCGAGAACAAGAGAGCAAGGGGAACATTTAAAGTTTTGTTGGCAACCTCTTCATCTATGGATTACTGGCTGGACACAAACAGGAAAAAGAGATATGAGGGGTCTGGAAGATTACTCTAGTTGATTGGCAAAGGGGGGGCTTGTTAAGAGGGAGGAGAACCCAGGTGAACTGGACATTGCAGAGCACTGAAGGATGGCATCGCCTCTGCCCTGGCTGTACCTTATTCTATGGTGAGTAAGATTTTTTTCTGATTTTTCCTTTTAGTTCAGAGGAAAGTGAAAGCACATACCTACTGGGTGACTTCTATACCAAATCATGAAGAAGCCTGGGTGGTGTGGCATGTATTTGCAGTGGGATAGATGAGTAGATTGAACAACCTATTCTCTCTGAGCCTGGGAGTGAGGATCATGGACTGTTTACTCACAGGGTAGAAAGTACCCTAGGGAAACTTGAAGATGAAGGAAACTTCTACTCCAAAAACATCAGTCGTATCCTGGACAACTTGCTTGAAGGCTATGACAACCGGCTGCGGCCGGGATTTGGAGGTGAGAAGCAGCATTCTTACTAAACCAAATATCTCTACTCTCTTTCCCCCTTCCCTCTGTTCCAAGACCCAGAGGCTTCATAAGGATAGCAGAGCGGTAAGGTGCAGGGGTACTGGGAGAGGCCACATGTTCCTGTCCAGTCTCTGTCCCTTCCTCTGTTTGTGACCTTCTATGCATGTTATTTGAACCCTCTTAAGCCTCAGCTTCCTCAGCTGTAGTGTGGGAATATGAACAGTGCTTGCCTCATAGAGTTGTGTGAGTGTAGAATGAGATTCTCCATCTAAAGCACTTTTCTAAGCATTTGTCCCAAAAAAACTATAAGATGTGTTACTTATTGTTATAATTTTTATGAGAATACTAACTTAGTTCTCTTCCATTCCTTAAATTCCCCAAATTGACCAGAAAAATTTCAAAATAGTGCAACTGGTATGAGTTTTCAGAGTTGAAAAACCCAAGGGCTCCTGCTACCGGATTCCTTTAGGATGGATTGCAGGTTCTGACCATGAGAAGGGACTTTGTGGTAGGGTCATTAAGTTCAGTGTCCTTAAAATAACTGGTGATATTTGCCGCCATTCTTCTGGCCTAATTTCAGGTGCTGTCACTGAAGTCAAAACAGACATTTATGTGACCAGTTTTGGGCCCGTGTCAGATGTGGAGATGGTGAGTGAGCTCTAAGTGGGGAGGGTAATTTTACTTATTGGCAGGAGGGCAGAGTCCCAGAACTAACGATCTTGGGCATTGTTACCAAGCTTGGCTCCAGAGTCCTAATGCAATATGTGTACTCATGCTGGGAGGGCATGGTCATTAGAGCAGATTACTGGCTTAATCTCCTTCACATTTCACTAAGGGCTCTGTTTGAACACTTTAACCTGAGGGACTTACTAAGATTCTAGTCTCTCTTTGGGCCACATATCATGCACTGATTCTTTTCTACAAAGATAAGATTTTCCCCATCTTTATGAAGTCCTGGTAAATTTTTAGAATAGAAAAAAGAAAAATCAACAAAGATATGTCACGTAAGAGTATATTGAGAGTATCTATGAAACTGAAAATATAGCTGTTTCCTGTAGCACATCATTCTCAGTATATTTTATTAAAACAGTAAAGGGCATCATTTGGAAAAGCTAGTGCTTTGTACCTTTTGTGTTGCAAATGGACCAGTAGGTGTTCTAGGAACTCTGTTCCAGGTGCAGATGACTGTAGGATTCAGAAGAGAGTATTTATAGTAAGTGGCAATGAAAATCTGAACTAGTCTTCTAGAACAAAGTGCATCATGATATTTTTCACAGTTCTCAGGTACCATTTCCCCCTAAAAGTAAAATATAAATACTAAAATCAAAATGAACATAACTCTTTAAATAGTTGAGTCATTAAAGTTTATTAGGGAAATGCTGCTCTGGATAAATAGTTATTGGAGAACTTTTTATCTCCTGATCTTTGAGTTGACAAGAAAAGAAAGAAGCAAGAAGGGAAGAAAAAAAAAAGGAAGAAGTACCAGAGGAAGGGAAAGGGAAGGGAGGGAAAAAAGTAAAAGAAAATGAGGAAGTGAAGGAGAGGGAGAAGAACTTTATTTAAGAGATAAATGTCTTAAGACTTGAAAGAAAGGAGGGTCAGCATTATCCAGAATCCTCAATTATTTTACTATCATATTTTTCATTTAGTACTAACTCACTCCAAATATAAATAACCACAACCATACTATATTATTGAAGTCTGGGGAACACTTGGCACTTCATTTTATGTATGTGTCTCATTATTTAAGTATAGTTGTACAGTGGAGACTTGTTATTGCCTGGATCATTATTATATGGATATACTGTGTGTCAAATTATATTTTGAAAATCTAATCACAACTTGCAGTAATAGGTCTCATACAGGAACACATAAAGTAGGCAAATCAATTATTGGCAATATTTTGATATACTTAAAAGCTTTAATTATCATTGACTTTTGCAATGGCTCTCACCATAATTCTTAAGATTTCTAATGTTATTTCATAAAAGCCACAAATTAAAACTCAAAATTTTAATTATGGATACTTAAATGATGTTCTAAGTTATCATGGTAACATTTGCTTTTATATTCTCCAGAATAATATAAAATTATTGTGATGTGCAACCAGAGTACACTTATCAAGCAAAGTTTACCTATCCTTGAAGTTTGCTAAATGGTGCCATGGTGTTTGGAGACACCTTTGAAAGTGAACGAGGCATTGAGGGGAATGATTAGACTAATAATGGTAGGAAGACCAGCACAAAACCTAGACTGTAAATCTTTTCATATTTTTTTTTCTAAATTTATGGAGGGGAAATTGATAGGTCAATAGATGGAGAGGTGGATGACTGATAGAAAAGAAGAAGATTGTTAAAGAGGGTCAAGGTGCAGGAGGGAGGTTTGCACAACACAGTGCCATCTTTTATGATAATATTACAAACTTCGAGTTTGAGAAAAATAATAATTTCCTGAAATCACAGGTTCTCTGAAGGTTATTATCATAAAAAGTTTTTTATTTTTTAAATTTTAGAATTGGGTATATAAGCTAATGAATAAAATATTCTTAATAAACTATCTCCCCAGCTTTATGAATATCTTATTTTCTCTTAGGAGTACACAATGGACGTTTTCTTTCGCCAGACTTGGACTGATGAGAGGTTGAAGTTCGGGGGGCCAACTGAGATTTTGAGTTTGAATAACTTGATGGTCAGTAAAATCTGGACACCTGACACTTTTTTCAGGAATGGCAAAAAATCAATTGCACACAATATGACAACCCCTAATAAACTCTTCAGAATAATGCAGAATGGAACCATTTTATATACCATGAGGTGAGGTTTCCCCAATTCAACTTCCTCTAACCAAATGATTTGTCCATCATACTAACTTGGAACCATTTATTTCAATGTCCCTAGGCTTACCATCAATGCTGACTGTCCCATGAGGTTGGTTAACTTTCCTATGGATGGGCATGCTTGTCCACTCAAGTTTGGGAGTTGTAAGTTACAAAAAGCTTCTGAGAGTCAAACAATGCATTCAAAATATATAATTATTGGGGCACCTGGGTGGCTCAGTCGGTTAAGTGTCCAACTCTGGATTTCAGCTCAGGTCATGATCTCAGGCTTCTGGGATCAAGCCCCATCTCAGGACTCCCCGGGCTCGGTGGGGAGTCTACTTGTCTCCCTCTCCCACCTCTCCTCTCCCCCACCCCTTTCTCTGAAATAAATAAATAAGTCTAAATAAATAAACAAAGGCAGCAGTCTTTAAAAAAGTACATATATATATAATTTGATTGTAGTCAGAGACCAGAAAGCAAAAGAGAAATATTGCTATGATAGTCTCAGTGTGATTCCAGGAATATACTTACTTAATCATGTCTGTCAATCTTGTAAATAGTTGGAGGCTTTAGTTACCCAGATTAAGAAAAACATTAAAGAAAATTTATGTTTGTATTTCTTTTTTATATGTAAAAAATTTGCTTTGGAAAAAAAAACACAACTAGTCAGATTCACTGCTATGTTTAATTTGTTTAAAAAATTCAGATGCTTACCCCAAAAGTGAAATCATATATACATGGAAAAAAGGACCACTTTACTCAGTTGAAGTCCCAGAAGAATCTTCAAGTCTCCTCCAGTACGATTTGATTGGACAAACCGTATCTAGTGAGACAATTAAATCTAACACAGGTAAGAATTAGACCAATTCATGAATGTAATTCAGCAAGGTGACTCCCATGCACATTTTTGAAATATCTATTTTTTTTCTTCTCTGCATTAGCCATCCTCAGCTATGCTTGCTGTTTTGAAGTGATGAGTAGCATTCTTTAAAATTGATTTTGCAACCATGTGCATATAAAGATTTGTGTAACCTTGGAATAAATAGTTTTGTATGTATATGACACAAAGAACCCGACCAAAAACAATGAGCTGATGTATCTACCATCTGCTTGATCAAGTACCTTTGTCATACAGTGAAATATGCCTTTACTTGTTTTATTCCAGCGCATGTTAATTTAAAGATCTGCAAGATTTATTTCCAGCTGCATTCTTTCTGCACACTGTCAACAGCAATAATACTGATATACATGTTTTCCAACAGGTGAATACGTAATAATGACAGTTTATTTCCACTTGCAAAGGAAGATGGGCTACTTCATGATACAGATATACACTCCTTGCATTATGACGGTCATTCTTTCCCAAGTGTCTTTCTGGATTAATAAGGAATCTGTCCCGGCTAGAACTGTCTTTGGTATGCTTCACTCTTTGGCTATACTTCCACTCATCCTCCCACTCTTTTTTTTTTTTAATACTTTTTTATTGTTATGTTAATCACCATACATTACATTATTAGTTTTTGATGTAGTGTTCCATGATTCATTGTTTGTGCATAACACCCAGTGCTCCACGCAGAATGTGCCCTCTTTCTACCCATCACCAGGCTAACCCGTCCCCCCACCCCCTCCCCTCTAGAACCCTCAGTTTGTTTTTCAGAGTCCAAGGTCTCTAATGGTTTGTCTCCCCCTCTGACTTACTCCCCTTCATTACTGCTTGTGATATGTTGGGGGAATTGTGAATGTTCAGGGCATATTCACACTAGGGCACTTTTTCAATCCATAAAGGAAATAGACTCCTATCTCATTGAGGCATATGTATGATATTAAATGACCCTTATATTATCCCAAGCTATGCGGTGAATTCACAAAAACATTTGTCTTGGCAAGAATTCTGGCTGGATTTCTGTGACTTTCATGTGCCCTATTTAGGAGTTTTTTTTTTTTTTTTTTACTTTTTTTTTAAATCTCAATTTGCTTTTTCATAATTAAGGAAAAGCAGAAAAGTAAAAGCTGACATGTAAATCCATGAAAAGAAAGGCAAAGATATTGAAACCTAATATATAAATCATGTCTAATATATAAATAATATCTTGCTTTTATTAGGTTGAACCATAAGAAACTGTCATTTTTCTAGATCTAAAAATAGTTAAATATAACCAATTTCCCATGTTCAACCTAAATATTGAGTTCCATTTTTGATATGTAGAATCACTATTAATTTTGAGAAAAAAAGTTGTAATGGAAAGTATCATCAATAACAAAATCCAACTTTTTCTGAGTTTTCATGATTATACATTTAGAGAGGTTCATAGCAAAGACCTGAGTTGAATTGAAATCTCAGATGATTTTGACTTTCTAATTTACTATATTAAAATAGATTTCTTTCTGCAAATTATGAAAGAATATCCATATAATGACATTGACCATCTTCAAATTACATATATTCTCCAACTATTATACAAGACATAAAACTGCTGGTGACTGAGTGATGAAATTATTTTCTCATGAGTAAATATTTTACCTTAAAACCAAGCTAGAAATGTAAAAAAATGAGGAACCTAATTTTATGTTTACTATTCATAGCAAATAGACTTCTTAAATATGTTGATAGATATTATCAGCTATTCAAACTGACCAAGAATTCAAGGTTTTAGTACTTATATGATAATTTGCTGTAAATTTTCTTAAGTAAACAACTAGAATTATTCATGAGTTTAACTTTATAATAGTTAAACTAAATCAAATCAGAAAATATTTTTTGAGCAGCTACGGTGTATATGGCACATACTAGGTATTGAAGCATACAAAAATGGTAATACCTATGATAATAATTGTGAACAATTATAAAACTAGAACAAAAATTACATTTGCAGAGTGTTTAATCCACTGACACATGCTCATTTGATGTTGTTACTGGATTCCAAATGCTAATACTGCATTTCTTATTCTTTTTCACTTTAGGGATCACCACTGTTTTAACCATGACCACATTAAGCATCAGTGCCCGGCACTCCTTGCCAAAAGTGTCGTATGCAACCGCTATGGATTGGTTCATAGCTGTTTGCTTTGCTTTCGTCTTCTCAGCTCTTATTGAGTTCGCGGCTGTCAACTACTTTACCAATCTTCAGACACAGAAGGCCAAAAGGAGGGCACAGATTGCAGCCTCACCCCCAGTGACAATATCAAAAGCCAGAGAACCGTTGGAAGCTGAGATTGTTTTGGTAATTGTTTACTTTTCTAACGTTACCCATCAATATAGGAAAAGGCAGCCTAACAGTGATCACAAACAACTAAATAGTCCAAAAGTATTATTAGTTGAGCACAAGTTACATAATTCTGATTCGAAGGCCAACTTCTTTTCCTACTTCAGAGCAAAAAAAAACAAGCAATAATCCTTCATTTATCTTTGCTCTAAACTTTTGGCATTCTTCTTTTATCATCCTCACTAGTAATAGCAGATTCTAAGCTCTCAGAGGAGATGAGAACATTCTTCTCAGCCTTTAGATGTTTCCTTTGAACAGATTTACTTATACCAAGTAGGGAGAATAAAGTGAAAAAAAAAAAAGTTCCTAATGAGGCTTCAGAGTCTGAGGGAAATAAACAGGGACTCCTATAAAATGGACAATTTTTGTTAGAAATCTGCTTGCTACTTCATTCCATGAAGGCAAGATGTGAATATTAGGTTCTACGAATGCTGAATCATAAGCAAGGTTTTTGATTTTCATGAAAACACTCATGTTCACATTTGTATATTAAATACATGTATCTTAAAGTGTTTTTATTCAAAGACTTTTAATCAGTGATAAATACCTATAAAATTAAGCTTAGATTTGCTGTGACTAAGCTCTGGTCCTCAGAGGTTATTTTGAAAAAGAAACAAATGATGGCATTAATAATTCAAGGGTCATAAATGTGCCCCCAAATTTCAATTCCACATATGAGTAAAATTTTAACAGTTCAGCTGCACACACTTTTTTAATGGATTATAGACTTATTGACAAATATACATTTTTATGTCAATGCAAATTCCACATAGTAGTTGTTGAAAAGAAGAAAATTTTGCTCTGTAAAATCAAGTACTGCCGACACTTTGAACTAAAAGTGTCTTTATATAATCAATTCTTGTGAACATTTCTAAATCACAGAACCACATGTAGTTGAGCTAATCCCTGGTTAACTTTAATGTTAAAAACTACAAAGCTATGTGTGTTTTATTCTCAAATACTCAGGTATTTATTGGATAAAAATATGATAGTTTCTTATCAAAACTTCTCTTTTGATATACTAAGAAATATGTTTGAGAATCTATATTTTCTCCAAGGAATAAAATAATGCCATTCCCATAAGTGGAAATATATAATTTAAAGATTTTTTTTTCTTAAATTAGTTCTCATTAAAAAAAAATTTTTTTTCCCATCCAGTGATCCAGACTAATTACCTCTGCTTACAAATCAAAAACAGTATCTCAGAGAGGGAAGATGTTAGTTACTAGTCGGTAGAAAAACTAGGAATTTATCACAGAAGTCCAATACACACAGATTTACAGAGGCAGAGACTATCCCCTCTCCAACAATCCTCAAAGCCTGATATATAAAAGAGTGCACACCACAAGATAAAACATTTTCAGAATGTGAGATCATTCCCAAAATTCTTCCCTTGACCTAATGATGTTTTCTTTATATAAGTGTATTTTTAAAGGCCATAAAAATATAAATTTTATAGCAAAAGGGTGCTAGTCTGAAGACTCAATCCAAAACACTTGGAAAATAATTTTTTTCAGAAAATATTTTTGAGAATTAGTTTATGTTTGTAAAAATAAAAGTTATTATGTTATAAGCCATCTGTATTAACGTAGGTATATAATCAACATATTGCCCAATGGTCACATATCATCTTAACATATATCTATAAATGAAGAATTCATATTTATCAGAATTCAGTTTAACAGTTTCCTTCCAGAAATGCAGTAAAATTGAAAAGAGAAATTCATGAGAAACAAGATAAAAAATAAGTCCAATGATTTTGAATATGTTCATTGATCTGATATTGAGATAAAAAGAAAGACCAACTTCCTTACTTCAGTTTTTTTGAAATATGTATTCCTGAGAGAAATATGATTTCAAATCCTTGGAGAAAGCAGAGAGTTAGTATTCTCTTTGTCTTTTATTTTAAAGATATAATTTATTAATAAGATGGAATTTAAGATCTCAGGTCTTCATATGAGCTATCTTCTACAATTCTAAAATAGTAACGTATAATGAGCAGGTCCTTTGGGAAACTGGATAAAAAAATGCATTTAAATCATCTCAAAGTACTTTTTTCTTGCAAGTTGACTTTTTTCTTATGAAAAATTTTATTTCTAAACCCGGCTTCACTTAAAACACTTTAAGGCCATGAAAAGCAGCATTTTGTTTCTGAAAGGGTAGGTCAAAGCATAAAAATAAAAACCAAAATAAGCAAACTTAACAATACAAACCTTGTAGGTACCAAAAATAAATATAGATGATTACACAGAACATTTATGTTTTATTTATTCATGTCAAACCTTGGCAATTTGTTTTATATAATGTAGAGGAACAAACATAAATTATACATTTGCAATTTATACAACACAATGGTATATATTATGATTGCTAGGCCATTTTTTCTTTCAAATACCATGACATTTAAAAACACCTATTCAGTTGTAATCAAAATAATGTTATTTGAGTAAGTTGGACATTGAAATAGCAAACCAATGTGGTGAGGTTGAAATAAAATTAAGTGCTTAGATGTTTCATGTGATTCTAAGTTATATTTTAATGTCCTAATTTCTTTTCATAAGAAACTACTTAGAATGAATATGGGAAAAAGTTTATCACTTTGATTTTGACCTTGAAATTTAATAAAGACAAAGAAATTCAGGAGTTTTAAATCTAATCAAACCTGAAGAGACATCTAAAACTAAATCCTCAGAAGTGCTTGGTTTACTAATGATCTTTCTCGTTTTAAGGCATTTGGAACTAGGTACTGGGTTTTTTTGTTGTTGTTTTTTGTTTTAGATTTTGAGAACAAATTACCCACGGCTTCTTGCCTGCTTATATGGTACCTTTCCTTATTGCTTTTATCTGGTATGCTATCTTGGCACTAGAGAGTTATTCTTATCTTCATGTATCATAAATTATTATGTGTCTGGGGTATACTTATTCTGCGTGTGAGACCAAGTTTGGACCTCAATCACTTTTTGGATGTTTTGTTAGTGTCCTTGTTATTTTAAAGGTCTAAACTCTCATTACTATGTTCCTAAGAATGAATTCCCCCCCACCCATCGACACATCCAATGTGGCTTTCCTTTTTCACAGGAGGTGTGACATTCTTGGTAAATTATCTACAAACATAATTGGCCAAAATTTCATTCGTCAGGACAATAATTATATTTATAGTGATTACATTGTTTATTCACTATTTTTTTTCCTTTTCATCTGGCACCCATTTATTGAGTACCTATGTCTTCAATGAATTATTCATACTATAAGCACTTGTTAAATGCTCTTATGTTCCATATCCTTTGTAGAATGCTGGAGATACATTAGTGTGTGACATCAGTAGGGCCTCTTCCCTCACTAGCTTCTTGCTGAACAGTAAGAAAGACAAACCAATGAGCTATAACAATACACTATGAAAAAGGCTGTGGTTAGAGATGTATAGTGGTTAAAGAAGAGCCATGCAAGAGTACCTAACACAGCCTGGAGGGGGATCATCATTCTGGAGGAAGTGTTTTCTCAGCTGAGAACAGAAGGATTAGCCTGGTCCTGTTCTAGAAGCACTAAGTCAGTTGCTTGTCCCAACCTGGACATAGAGAGGGAAATAAGACATATCCTTTCTATATTCCCTTTCAAGGTTGGGATGATCTGCTGGGTCATTATCATGTTGCCTTCCACCTATGTAGAGAGATATGAAGCATAGAATACTGAAAGATTTACTTCCCATTTCCAAATATTGCCGAGATTTCTTTGAAGACTTTCATTACTCTGTAGAACTAAGGGTTGAATTAAGCCCATCAGAGACTCTGAGTCCCTTCCCCATGGTTGTGCTATTTCATAACTTATAGAGAGGGTAGGGTGGATTAGATAAGGGGTGTAGGTGGTTAGTTCTTTCCCCATACCTTCTATCAAATCCCATCCAATATTCCCTTCTTCATCCTCCAAACATTCCAATGTTGTTTCCAGACATGTACTTAGCACCACAGACCCACCAGATTGCTGCCAATAAGCTGCTTCTTTATAGAAATTCTGGAATTGTCTCTGTCCCAATTCTACCAGCTATTTTTCTTAGATGCAAGAAAATTTCATTTGAAATTCTTATTTCCTCCATAATAATTAACATAATAGTTTTTAAAAAAATATTAAGTACTAAATATTTTCAAATTTATATTTGGGCCCTTGTTTGCTGGTTCTAAAACCAGATGTTTTGTTTGTCCATTGGATAATGCAGCCATGGTTAGAATATCTCTCTTGAGAGGTAACCCATTGCCCCCTCCTCTTTAACATTAGACTCACTGAATGTTGTATAAAAATTGCTTTAAGTACTTTCCAAATGTCTTATATTTACATCCAATAATTGATTGTCATAAAGTCCAGTTTGACTCAAAGTACCTTTGCAATATGGCATTACTTAAAACAAAGCAATGCTCTATAAATACCCAAAGCAGGATGGCATTCAGCAGCAGGGGAGCCCTGGAAAAATTCGAAACCACAGGTGTTCCACTCAAAGCAGTGACAGCTCCAAGCTGAGCCCTCATCTGGACTCTGACAAAAACCTATTTTACCATCAGCTGAAGCTGCCAGGGTTACAATAGAACAGGCGGGGTCTGATGCAAACCTGTATCTTGAATGGCTTGCAAAATTGGCTTTCTTTTCACTTCAGAAATTCAATGTGATTCTTCTAAATTGGAGTCCAGTTTCCTGTACTGCCAATTCCCAATTATGCAGGAGCTGATTATCCAGCATGTAGGTTAGCCAGACCTCTTGCATTTCCTTGAACATATCATATTTGCTGCCTGCTAGAAACACCCTCAATCGCTGCTGGACGGTGAGATATCTGTAACTCTAAGCCAGTGATACTCAGTGGTAGGTGACTTTTCTCCCCAGAGAATATTTGGCAATGTCTGGAGATATTTTTGGTTTTCACAACTTTGGGGAGGGAGATGCTACAGGCATCTTGTGGGTAGAAGTAGAACCCAGGGATGCTGCTCAACATCCTATGATGTACAGGACAACCCTCCACAACAAAAAAGTATCCTACCCAAAATGTCAATAGTTCTGTGTTTGAGAAACCATGCCCTGAACCTTAAAGCTGATGGGAAGAAACCATAATAATTATTAAGAGTGTGATCTTAACATCCGAGAGTGATTACATTCAGACACTGCCAGTTACTGCGTGAGCTTCCCACTTAAGCCTTCATTTGCTCATCTCTAAAATGAAAATAATAATATTACATTATATTTTTTTCTAGGAATAGGCAAAATAATGCATGCAAAACATTGTGTAGTGCTTGTCAATTATAAGCATTTAGATATGGTACTTGTAATATGAAACAATACACTAAAATATAATGTAAAATAATCATCAAAATTTTTATTTTCTTCTCCTTGCCTGATTACTCTAAGAAATCCTGGAAATGTTTAGATTTTCACTCATTTGTTGATTCAGCATATGCTTATTAAGCACATACTATGTTCTGTGCACTGACTAGGGACTGTGGAACACTTATACTTAAAGTAATATGCCCTCTACCAATAAGGAGATTTCATGTCAGGAAAGGAGATAAGGTGCGACAGAAATAATATTTACAAGGAAGAATGTGATAACTGCTGAACAAATGATGACATCTAAGTAGGCAAAAAAGTGTTCTCTTTCTAGTATATCTATGATATATATTATATATGTATATCTAATGTCTATCCATCTATCTTCTCTATAAATTTATACCTTACATTTTCTTTCTCAAATTCTTAAAGAAAAGAAAAACTTATAGAGGAAGTAATAATCTTCCCTAGCTTTAGAGATGGGAACTACATATAGCAGGTAAGTGGTATATGTGGAATTGCACACGAGGGCTTTCTGACTCTCTTGTCCTCTTAACTCTTATGCAACCCTCCACAGAGACTGTTCGGAGAAGTAGACGAGGAGAGGGTGAATCCTGTTGTAGGGGATCTTTCATTCCAGGCTAATGCTATTAAATTTTTCATGGTGTTTTGAGTGATGTTGCTTAACTCTGGACAAGGGTCATTTGGTAATTCTTATTAAGTCATGTGTGACATTGTGACAATGCCAAAAGATTGACAATTAACTTTTTCCCCCACAGCTCTAAAGAGGGGAAGATAAAACAATGCCTTACATCTTTATGGTAGATTATGTTTTATAATTACTTTTTTGTCTCAATGAAATTTTTCATGCCTGCCCTCTTTCTCCTTAAAAAAAGAAATAAACACAGGGAATGCATGCTGTTAAAAATCATGAGTTTAGAAAGAGTTATCTGCTTTAAAGGCTTGCCCTCATTTTACTCCATCATGATCCTTAGAAATTTTACTAGAGTAAAATATTTTAATATTCCATGTATCTGGGAGGAGGATAACTCTTTTTGGAAAATGAAACAGTAACACATTTTGCTCTTTCAGGTGGAGACTATTTCAATAACATAGTTAATGGCTGAAAATTCAAATTAGAGTCTGAGATACATGATAGAAACTCTGGAAAGAAGGTGCTATGTTTATTCTCTAAGACAGGCAGCATGCACTGAGACCGAAATATCACTACTCTGGTCCTATCCACATGCTGACTCGTGACTCTGGGCACAGTAGTCCTTAGCTATCACATGTTTTTAGTAGGAAGTGTCACTTATCTCCTAAGATCAGGAGACTGAGGCCTCTACTATTTTAAATTATCTTCTACCTTCTATCTTCTTTATTTAATTTTTGTCAAGAGTCCCTAGCACAATCCTGGGCCAACACATAACAAGTAAAGATATTCTTTCCTTGCAACTCACCATGGTCATGAGAAATCAGACTTGACTACTACAGAGACTCATCTGTGCTTTTGGTGAAGAGGGAGATTTTCCCATGGCCTCTAAAAGCACACTGGGCTTGAACTCTCAATGATGACTATTATTATTTAGATACTCAGTAAATTCCGTGACAAATCAAACAGCAAAATTCGAAAGGGGAATACAGAGAGACGAGGTTCTTGGAATTGCTGTTTCTCGCACTCCAAATGTCACCACATCGGCAGGTCATTCTGGTCCTGTGGCTCAACTGGCACAGGGGAGGTGGCTGCCTCATCCTGTTGCTGCGGGTTTGCTGGCTAAAGCCACAGGAGTCTGCCCACGTGAGTAACATACCCTGCCAGGCATCAAAGTGGTGATTTTGCTGCCAGGGAGAAAACAAGGCAGTTTTACAAGAGCAGAGATAATGTACAGCAAGTGTTTGAAGGCAGAGACCCAGCAAGGGCAACCTGGTCACAAGGAGAGTGACTATTATAGGATATAGACAAGAAAAGATACAAATCAGAGCAAGGTCCTCTAGTCTCCACAGTATGAAAGGAGTCGAAAGCAAACAGAATTAGAGTCTCTGAACTACACCCAATACTTTAGAGTGAAGACAAGAAAATATGGAGATGATGAAACAAGCATTGCAATTGACCAGGGTAGTTTATTACCAGCTGTGTGACTAAGGGCTAGGCATTTCCAGCTCCACTCTCCGGACTTAGCCTTTGCACCTAACAATTAATGTGCTAAATATCCTTTTCAGGACTAAAAATGGTTGTTTTATGATTTCTAATGATAAAAAAGAACATATAATAACTCTGACAATTCTGAGGTCAGTAAATGAATCATTTTTTGGTGACTTAGGATGGAGGCAGATGAGACCAGTGGAGAAGTTCTGAATGGGAAGCAGAAAGCTCTCAATATAGAACTTCTGGGCTTAAGAGGCAGTTGTATTTCAAGGGATGAACAGTCATCCCACTCAGTTTAAGGGTATTGACACTTTGTCACTGGTTTTCACAAACATGAGCACCTTAATAATTTTTGTTGCTGTTATCTCAGCTGGTTCAAATATATGAACGTGTGAAGATGAGGATGTAGGCTAGAAGAATGATATCAACTAACTGAACTGCTATATTTTCTTGTATTAATTAATTGTCCATATATTCCAAATTTAAATGCCCTCTCATTGCCCACACACATTGCCCTATAGGCTTATGCATCACCAGGGAGGAGAAGGGGGTGGATAAGCCTTTGCAACCTGGTTCATCTCTTCCTAATGGCCCAGTGGTCAACGCAGTTTCTGGGATGTGGAATATGGTTGGCATCAATTGCTGATGTATGAAATTATAGGATGTTGGATAGCCACAAATCATTATTTTAAATTTGTTTTACCACTTTCTTGGAAAAGTAGCACCATCAAATACTAAGAACGTGCTAATATTAAAAAAAGTAATTTGCTAATATTTTATCTTACACAGTAAGTAGTCAATAAATATCTGTCCATGGTGAAAAAGTGAATAACTAAGTGATCTCTAGTCTTTTACCTAGGCTGAATATTTATTTCCCTACAGCATCCTGATTCCAAGTATCATCTGAAGAAAAGAATCACCTCTCTGCCTTTGCCAATAGTTCCATCCCCGGAGGCCTGTAAAGTCCTCACCAGAGCTCCTGTCTTACAAACAACACCTGTCACACCCCCACCACTCTCTCCAGCCTTTGGAGGCACCAGTAAAATAGACCAGTATTCTCGGATTCTCTTCCCAGTTGCATTTGCAGGATTTAACCTTGTATACTGGGTAGTTTACCTTTCCAAAGACACGATGGAAGTGAGCAGCAGTGTTGAATAGCTTGAAGCCAGGACAACTTGTATTCTGTAAGTTCTCATTTTCTGAAATTTTTTAAATAGCATTAACACTTGTATAGATGCTTTTCTGAACATTGAAAATCTGTAACACATAGCTTTGAGTAAGCACGTATGGGCCAAAAAACACTAATGTTACTCCTCAAAACTAGAAGTTGAAGGTTGTTGAAAATATGACTTTTCTGTATGTTAGAGAAAAAATTTGTAAGAGAATAAGATGGACTCAAGATGAATTTGCCAATCTTTGTCCTTCATTGTTCAATATTTTAATTGTCACTGTGAATAGCATTTACCACAAAGAAGATAAAATATGAAATGCTGACACTTCCAAAGTTTGCCTTAAACTATGTTTATTTCGGCTTAGTTGTCAAAGAGAGCAAAATATAAATAGTCTAAATATTTATCAATAGGTTAATACCAGCATGTTGGAGGCCCTTATGCTAATAAAATAGCTTTCAGTGTCAAGCCTGTATTGAGCTTAGCCATTTGTTGTGATGCTATTTTACCTCAATAAATGAATGAATGAATGAATGAATAAATAAATAAATAAACAAACAAATAAATAAATAAGTATGCATATGTACATAGCTTTAGTTGGACTGCAATACAGTGCTGTTTTATCTCAGTAAGCTCTCCTTTCAAAATAATATGCTTATCATAATCCCATGAAATTGTAGAAAAAATTGTAACTGTAATGAAGCCTTGTTCTATTATGACTGCGGCTATATCTCATATTTTCTACCTTTCTATGTATACCACTAAAGAAAACAATAAACATGGTTCTCTCTGTTTAATAAAGCTAGGGAGAAGACTTTTCTTAAGTATGAAGAAATGAAGACACTAGCTCTACTCAATGTTAGTGTCCCTGCTGATTCTGACAAGTAGAAGGTACAGGACAGGTAGGCTCAGTCACCTCACTCTAAACAAAGAGTCGAGTTTGTATCCAGAATCAATCTCTCCTTCCTGCTCACTCAACACACTTTCGGTTATAAGATGAATACAGTCTGAGTATCTAATAAATAACATAGTAACTATAGTATAACACTGTATTGTATAATTGAAATTTGGTAAGAGAGAACTTAACTGTTCTCAGCAAAAAAAATTAAAAAGGTAAATATGAGAGGTGATGGATATGTTAATTGACTAACTCAGTGAGGGGAATCATTTCCTAATGTATTCATATATCAAATATCACATTGTACACTTTAAGTACCTTACAATTTTGTCAATTATACCTCAATAAAGCTGAAAAATAAATGAATGAGACTACTTTTCTCTCTTTCTGCTATCCCAGCTCTTCTTGATGCTGACTCTAGCCATGTTTCTCCCACATAGAATAAATAGTCTTAGGGAAACAGGAATGAGGCACAGGAAAAAGCATGCAGTGTGGTTTGTCCAAATTGATAAACCCTTCATTAGCTGTTGTTGGGCCTTAAATATCATTGAGGTCACCCTGAGCTTTGAACCCAGAAAGAAATATTTTGAGATTACTACTCTTGACTTAATCCAGAAAAATGCAAAAATTCTACAGCCCAAAAATTAGAGGGTAATTAAAATAGCGGTTTGCTAAGGGTGAGGAGACCGAGAGCTCTATCCAATGTCTCTATGAATTAGCTCCCTGACCAAATCTTGGTCTCTGGGAGACTTCCTTGTATTCTCAGCTATAGGATGAGAGGGATTGATCAGATGCCCTTTAGAGTCCTTCCATTTTGAACAATTCATGGTTGTTTCATTACTATTCTTTTCTATGTAAATTAAATGAGTCTAACTCTCTAGGGCCTGCTTCTGTTTTAGGGAGTATATTAAATATTAGGCAAGTGTTATCATCTTACATGCTATGTTACATTTAATCTTCCTCACAAACCGGTAAAGTATATACTACTATTATCTTCCATTTATAGATGAAAAACCAAGATACAGGGAAGATAACTCATGTTCTTCAAAAGCAAGTGGCACTCAGGTGGCAAAGCTGAGAGTCACACCCAGGCAGTGTCAATCCATAGCTTGTTCACATAACCATAACCATACTTATCCTCATAGAACCCACTGTGACTCTATTTTTTAATCCCCTCCAGAATTGTCTCATCTTCTCTTTCATTTCCTGTAATAATTTTCCTGGTGTTCTGACATCCTTCCTGCCCCTTCCTCAGCATTCATTCTACATTTCACTGCAAAAGACATTACCTTCAGTCAACATTTATGCTTAGAGCTGAAACAGATAAGTAAAACCAATTTATTGGCATTAGATTTCTCCTCAATAAAAGGATCTTGAAAAAACTCATAAAATTATAAAACCTCTGAATTTCTAAGTATTCTAGAGACTACTATTATTCAATATATGTCATGGAATGGAGATAGAGGTTAACTGAAAATAAAATAGTTTTCCTAGTCAAATAATTTGGGAAGAGATGTTGAATCAGAGTAAAATAGGTTTCTTTTCTGCTGGACTTCTCAAAGCCTTTATTATGCTATGTGCACGATGATCCTCTCATAGTTTGCTATCGTATTTAACATTTCCCAAATCCACATGGCCATAAGTATTATTTTGCAGGGGGGAAGTGTTGGGACTACTATTCACCAGAAAAGGTGGTGAAACACCACCTTAATATTATTTGAACTATCCCTTCTCTAACCACACACGAATAGAACAAGTAAGGAATTGAATCTGAATGGTGACATGACTTACCCCAGCCAACACAAATTAGGACTTGTGTAAAACAGAAACCAGATTATGTATTTCAGTAAAGAGAACTCAATATAGAAGGAACTGATAAATGAGCAACACAGAGATAGTAACCATAGGAGTAGACACCAAAAGAAATCTGATAGGGTTCGCAGAGCCTAAAACATCAGGCAAGCGGCTTTATAGAGCTGGACTCAGTCATCTGAAGAGAGGGTATCATCTGAATGGTGAGAGTAGCTCAGCAGCTCAGAGAAGGAAACCCCAGAGCTGGGAATCAGACCTCCAAGGGCAGGGTACCGCATGGCTAATGGTGGAATCACAGGTAATCAGAAGAGGGGCACCTCGGGGCTCGGTCTCAGACCTCTGTGGTTTGTCCACGTGCTGCTAGGATCTCAGCCGTGTGCAGGAGAACACTTGCACATTTGGGATCAGACTCGCAAGGAAGAGGTGTGGCTTGACTGAAACCAATAACCCTGGGAAGGCACAATGAGGCTGGATCTGGGTATGCAAAACACTGGAGACTGGAATCAACTGTTTTCACAAGGTGAAGGGTAACATTAAAAGGCAAAGTAAGTCAACAAAAAGGAGAATGTTCTTTTCCCTTTTCCCTACCTGCTCTCTAGGCTTCCTCCGGTGCCTTCTATTGGAATAACCTGACAGTGGAAGAGAAGAAATGAAAACTAAACAGTCCCAGCCCCAGCATCACAAAATAGAGTATGGAAGGTTGGATTTGGAGGTGACAGATAAATGCCTAATAACTGACAAACTTCACCCCATCGGTTATTTGGTACCATACATTCACTTCTGTGCATATGTATACTGTCTCACAACAATAAGATGCAATTATCCTTCATACAAACAAAATGCTCTCAGCATTTGTCTAAAAAGGAGACACACAAAATCCAAACAGCCATCATATCCATCATACCCGTTTCTAGGCAAGAATCTCAGCATCCATTTCTGAATGATGACATGTAATCTTCTAATATAATCATGGTCCCACTTGAATAATCTGTTTCCCAAAGATTCAATTGTAAGCCTGTCTGTGATGAAAATACCTTTCTATAAAACAGTAAGGGAAGAGGAGAAGGGAGATAAAAAAAAAACTATTTACTCAACATATACTCAAATATAATATATACATATAATATATAATACTCAAATATAACTCAATTTGTTGATATTTGTTTAAATACCCCTGTGAACTTTACAGAAAGACAGAGCTCTCTATATATATCTATGAAAGTAATAGCAAGTAAGGAATAAAATACGCATACCCTCTATAGTCCCCATATGTGTAATGAATTACATGATTGTAGTTGATATAAATAACTTCCTTCTTCTACTACCCTTTTCTTTCAGCCTGTCAGCTGGTTGATTTACAATTCTTTACCTGACAGAATTACTGAAGGGTCTTAACCCAAGAGCAGGATAGTCATCTCACATCCAGGAAGGTGGATTGCTTCCATTACTAAGACTGTCTTAGAAGGGCGCCTGTGTGGCTCAGTCGGTTGAGCATCTGACTCTTGATTTCCGCTCAGGTCATTATTTCAGAATCCTGAGATTGAGCCTCACACTGAGTTCCCCAGCTGGCTCCGTGCTCAGTGAGGAGTCTGCTTTTTCTCTCCCTCCTCTGCTTCTCCCCCTACTCACATGCGCAGCCATGTGCTTATTCTCTCGAATAAAAATCTTTAAAAAAAAAAGTCATAGAAAACCTCAGAATTCTAAGCACAAAGTCCTCTCAGATGTCACCATACAAGTTTTAGCCTCACTTTCCTTCCCATGGCCAATGTAAGATTTTGAATTACATTGTAATTCTACAATCAGCACAATTAAAATATGCATCTACTTTTTAAGAGAAGCTAAAGCCAGCCTTGTAGCTACAAGAAATGAGATTCTTTTGAGACTGCCATAAAAGCTCCTTTGTTCTCTATTACTTGAACTGAGAATTAAAAGCCCGAGCTTATACTTTTCTGCCTGTCGATTCTCCAGCGCCGTCAGAAGACGACCAACCACGCACAATTCTCATATCCATCATAACTACTATAAAAATTAAGAAATGAAGGCACTTGATTCTCAGGATTATTTCATTACAGTCAACAAGAGTGATGCTTTTAATTAATTGTGATGTGACTTCATATTATGAATTACTAGTATGACAGGTCCTATTGGAAAGGAGAGCAGTACAATATTAAAGGACATGGACATGATCAAATAAACTTCAGAATCTCCTGGTATCAAGTGCAGTTCAGATAGAGAAACACCTAGTATCCTTAAAGCTAGGGAAAAAAAGAGAAGGGGCTGGGAACATCATCCTGAGAAAGATTCCCAAGAAGCTGGGGCCCAGACTTTTAAAGGGGTCAATGCCTGGGGCATGACGTGGCTAGTCCTGGGAATCCAGTAAGAACTTAGAGGCCGAAACAAGGGCTTGCCAGAGTGGAGTGCCATTATCAGGACAGTCCTTACAGAGGAACAGACTTAGAATGGACTGAGGAAGTCCCTTCTTCCTTTTCTCTTCTTTCTTCTCATCTCCCTAGAGTACTTCCTATTCCCAGAACTGGGTAGGAAGCATCTTAAAGGGAGGAATAAAAGCTGTGTAGTTTAGTACCAGCGTTACAAAATATAGAAGGGTAGATTTGCAACCAAGAGATAATAGCTTAAACATGAGCACAGACTGGGACCTAAACTATTCTGTTGTCCAGTTTAAGCTCTTTAAAATACTTCCTAATGGTTGGATTTCAGGAGCCATAATGAGTGGTGGTGGAGCCATACAGGAGCAGAGGGACTTGTCAGAAAGCACTTACCGGTCAAAACCTATTTCCATATGTTATCATCAAATGAATTTACATGCATAAATTGTGCAGAACAGTGTCTAGTATATATAAGGCACCATAATAAAAGAATGTTTATAGTATCATCATATCATCTCACTATATGCTAGGATTAAACATCGATATACAATTGATAAAATTAAAGTTAAAAACATTCCATATCAGGTCTATGAAATCTGTAATCATAAACTTGCTTATAACAAATATTAGCTGATACAAAAATAAAATGTGTATTATCACACCAAAAAACAAAAGAAAACCACAA